TAAAATGATTTTAAGACTGTATTTCTGGGTAGAAATCATCTAATGAAGTCTAAGTAATTACTTTCCTCTATGAGGAACCTACTTTGGAACGGGTAGAAAACTGTTAACAAAATAATTGAAAAATTAACGTAGTCAACAAATATTCTCCTGTATTCTCTAACTAATCTCCCAATCAAATGATTTGCAATTTATCCTCAGTTTCTTCTGCCACTCTTTCTGCATCTAACTGGTTGCTGAGTGCTGATCATTCCCTCTCAGAGAATTTCTCATTCTGCAGCACCTCTCAGGAGAGTGCAGCCAGTAAGCATGTTGATTCTGGAGCTGAACTTCCTGGGTTTGTATGCTGGCCACACCTCTTACCAGCTGTATGGGCTGGACAGGTTACTTAATTTATCTATCTGTTTCAGTTCCCTCTTCTATAATAACTCATAGCATTATTGTGAGGATTAAATGAGTTTTTATATGTAAACAATTAGTGTCTGACACACAATAAATATTTTAAGTATTAGATAATATTATTAACATCAATTACCATCACCTTTAATTCTTTTGGCTCTCATAGTCAGGTTCCTGAGCTCTTGCCATGTTACCTGTTCCAGTGTCACATGGTAATTAGGATTAGTTGCACAGAATTTAGGGAGCAAAATTAGCCATGTTGCTGTAGTACAAGAATAACAAGAAGGATTTTTTGTGAGCATAATATAATGGGAGCCAGGTAATTGTTCCAAGGATAAAATCAACAGGTAAAAATCAATTCTAAGAAATCAAGTATAATAAATTCAGTTGAGTTCAAGCTGTCTTTGAGATTCAAGGAGGTCTGGACCAGGAATCAAAAATTATAGCCTTTGGCTAAAACAAACCAACTTCTTGTTTTTATAAATAAAGTTTAAATGGAACACAGTCAGGCTCATTCTTTTTCTTATCGTCAGTGGCTACTTTTATACCATAAAGGTAGAGTTGAGTAGTTGTGACAGAGACCGTATAGCCCACAAAACCTAAAATGTTTAGTATCTGGCCCTTTACAGAAATAAACAAACAAATGTACTGGCTCCTGAGTATTATAGAATGCAAGAGAGAATTGGTGGGATTTTCAGGGAGAACTGGATCATTGAAAGAACCTTCTAAAATAGAACTGAGAAGAATAAAGTCTAAAAGAAATCCAAGTCATATGGCTGAGAATCAAGCCCTGGAGTGGGAGAGGGCACTGAGCCAGAATATTCAGGGAGTTTACTGCTTATCTTCATTGCTGAATCATTTGGCGACTCAGCCATCTTTAAGGAAAGAGCTAAAACAACTTCTAAAACACAATTTCTAGTTAGGTGAGTGCTGTGATCAGTCTGAATGAATTCTCTTCATTCCAGGGACGCATAGGAAATTTGGTAGAAGACTTGGAGATTAATACAATAATAAGGGTACAAGTATTATCATCCTAAATCTAATCATGTAACTTTGTTTTGACACCATTGTATTATAAGGTAAAAATTCTTTGACATGGCATATAAATTCTTCTTTTGAAAGTCTTATATACTCAGGATTCCAGAGACACCATTACACACTTGGCTTTGAATCTGAAAAATATCTAGTTTTGAATCCAGCTTTTGCAGATGTTTCTTCTATAATCTAAAATATCCTTCCCTTGCCCTTCACCATAAAGCAGGTTGCGATTCATCCTATAAATAGCCAGCTTAAATACCATCAATTCTGGAAATCCTTTCACTAGCTTACAGGCATAATTAGTTATTCCTTTCACTGTAAGTGGAGAAGATCATGTTATAACCCAGGAAGTTAGTGGACACATAAAGCAGAAAGCCAATGTAGCAGCGGGGTTCCATCTACGAGTGATGTCTCCCACATGTAGCAAGCCAAAGCAACAGACTCCTCCCGGCATTGGTAGGAACAAAAAGCAGACACCCACTACTCCTGGGCTTCATCCCAAGAGTAACACCATAATAGGATAAGCTCATATAGTAGCTGTTCTTCCCTGAGTGGAAATGTTCAACAAGCAGGTATTTTCCAGAATGTGCTAACAGATAAAACCACTTGGCAGTCTTTGCAGTGGTATTGTAAGTTAGTAGATACTGCCCCTCTCAGAATAATATGGAGAAATGCCATTCTGTGAAATAGACAGTTAACAAGAAAGAGGAAAATGATTAAATTTGAAGGAGTTTACCTATAACAATAAAATATATAGGAGAAGTTCAGAGGTTTCTGTCTTCCATGGTAACCAGTGAGGACATTTTACTCTTGTGAATGGGGTTTCTGATTCAGATCAAGGGTAAACTACTGCGCAGTAGCCCTGGATAATGTAACCACCAGAAAAAGCAACATGGTGACATTTTTCCACATGCAGAACCCTTATATCACAATCTTTCCTTGTTTCTGTTTTGTTCCATCTCTTTGGTTGGCTTTGCCATCTTTTCTCTTTGATCTTATTCAGTTGTGTAGTAAAATGAATAAATTTCTTTCTTTCTTTCTCTCTCTCTTTCTTTCTTTCCTTTAATTGGGGAAGAGATTTCTATTTGGAAACCTCTTTGGTTGGAAGAACTGTTTCCCATTCCTCCAGCCTCTTTTTCCATATGTTAAAGTCAAAATGAATCCAAGATGGAGACCTAGAAAATAATGAACATGGAAGAGAGAATTTAAGGATTTTTTTCTAGTAAGGATAGAAAGACTTCTTAAAAATAACTTGCATAACAGAAAAATTTTCCAATTGGGAGATGAAAGATTTGAGTTAAAAATAAGTAGGACTCATTTGCCTAGTGTGTCTCTTCTAGCCGTTAACTTATGAACCTGAAAAAATAGTTGATGTCTGATGGAGAATTAAAGTTCATATATATTAATTGGACTTAGATCACCTATGGCTAACAGACTGGATAATATAATAGACAAGACTAACACAAGACACATACCTATGAAATTATATAGCCAGATCTATGAATTTGCAGTAAAACTTGTTAATAAGAAAATTTTAAAACAACATAACTATTTGGAAATGTTTAAACATTATTTTACATATATGGACTAATGAGGAAATAAAAATAAAATTACATATACCTTGGAAAGAACAGATGACTTGAAAATTACATGTGAACATATTTTAACTTTCTCTGAAATTTTAATGGTTGCAAATGTATAGCTTTACAGACATGTTACTAGTATTTCCACATCCATCTCTACATGCACACAAACATACATATGACAATATACAATGACCACTCAAAAAGTTAGGGAAAAAACCGCAGTAAAATTAGGAAAGTAGTTTGAAGAGCATAAATATAATTGTGAGCATAGTTAAAATTTTTGAAGATTTAGTGGGGATGAGGGTAGAGGGAAATTCTACAAATCTAATCAGGTAAAAGATAAAGTAGTTTTGAAACAATAAATGAAATATGACTACATATACAGATGATATACTAGATGAAAATTGGTTGCACAAATTCAAGTATATCAATGAAGTGGAAAAGTTTATGAGTTAACATCTAATTAATCCAAGAAGGAGAAACTA